CAAGATCGTGAACTTTCAATTGGGTGGGAAAAAACCGGGAAGCTTTCAGATTCAGGTTTTCCCAGATGTGCCAATATGTCTCGCTTAATCAATTGGAACTTAGAGCAATACTTTGCCTTGGACTCTGATTTACTTTTGGATGCTATTTGGAACCCTGACACCAGGAATGGAAGGAGACTCTCGGAAGGTGCTGCCTGCAAGGGAACGCCACTCCTGCCAGCTTCAGACGCCCACCACTCACCTGGTGCCTCTTCAGCATGTCCAGGCCCAGCAGCATGTCCATGGGCTGCTCCTCCAGGATGGAGAAGGAGCATGGGAGGAAATCCCCCTCGATCTGCACCTGAGCTGCAGCAGAAAAGATGGCGGGTAGGCGTGCCTTCCACCCAGAAGCCGGCCTCCGTTGAGGGAGGGTGTCGCCGGCTGCCTCCTCCGCCCCAAACACCTACCCAGGTGCACCCTGCCAATGATCCGCTGGGTGCCCACGCCCCGGGCGATGCCAGCCCAGCGCCGGTCCACCAGTCGCATGATGTTGCACCGCTCAGCGCACGCCTGGCTCATGATGGTCATCTGGGCACCTGCCAAGAGGGCACGCTGAGTTGAAAAAGAATCCTCCCACCCAGGGGGGGCGGGGGGAGGACGGACTCATCACGAATGAAATCTCAGCCTTTGCTGTCCTCCCCACCCAAGGATGCCCAGCATTATCCCACAACCGGCTTCCTCCAAACCCTCCGCCATCGTGGCCAGCCACGCCCATCAGGAAAAGGAGAGGGGAGGGAGCCAGACGGACCTGAGTCCACGAAGGCCTTCACGGGATGGCCGTTGACTTTGCAGTTGATATACAGCATCACCACCTGGCCAAAGCTCTCAGGAGCCTCTTCCATCGCGATGGTCATGTTCTCCTCGATGTTCTGCTGCCTGAAGGCAGACCATCAGAACCGGTCAGAAGCCTTTTTGGGGCCGGTTCCTTCCAGACTCAGCCCTCCGTGCGCCCTTCCCCGCTAACGGCCGGCTACCTGATGTCCTCCTCGATCTTGGCCTGAGCTTCCAGGTCGAAAGGGTCAGCAGAGAAGAGACGGATCCTCTCCTGCTCCCGCCGCGCTCGGTCCTGCTGCTGCTCCACCAGCACTTGAGTGAATTTTTCTGGGACACAAAACGCAGGGAGGGGAGGTGTTTTTTTTAAAGTCACAGGGCGGTGATGGCGAACCTATGGCACGCCTGCCCAAAGTGGCCCGTGTGGCGTTGCCTGTTCCTCTTCTGATCAGCTGGCCATCGTGTTTGCGGCCGTGCCAGAAACCGGAAGAGCTGGTCTTTCCGCTTCCCGACGTGAGCAATGCCGGCCAGCTGATCTTCTCGCGCACCAGAAACCAGAAGACAAGCTGGCCGGCGCGCATGCTGGAAACCGGAAGTTCATTTTCCGGTGCACGCATGCCCCCTGGGCTGCTCTTTCTTTCGGGTTGCGGCCCGGACGAGCGCAGTCGTTGCCGAAAAGGTTCATCATCACTGCCCTAGGGCAAAGTGGCAGCACTGGCCCGCCCCCGGCCCTATTTCTCCTCCACCCACCCTGAGAGCTTCCTCCCACTTACCCACCTACCCATCCTGGCAGGACTCACCCAGGTCTCCGCTGAGCAGCGCCTCGGCCAGAGGGGGGTTGCGTTCCTTCAGCAGGGAGAGCTCGTGGGGGTTGGCCAGCAGCATGGCTCGCAAAAGGGCAGGGTTATCCAGGCCTTGCGGGATGGAGGGCGGTTCGGGAGGGCCCGAGGTCGGGGCTGGGGCCTGTGAGGGAGCAGGTGGGGTTGGGGTTGGGGCTGGGGGAGGAAGCTGTAGGGACTGGGGGAACTGGGCGGACGTCCCCGGCACGGCGATGCTGCTGAAGTCTATCCTGGGCATCCCTATTTGCGATGGGGGGAGAAGAAGACAACACCGGATCAGTCTCCACCTGGGTGTTTTGGCTTTCTGGAGTCAGCTCTCCAGAATTTGGAATATATTGCTCTGATCGAAGCGTCCAAGAGCCTGAAGCAAACTCCTTGTCCCGACAAAAACCCCTTTTATTAATTGACTGTGAATTCTGCTCATTCACATCCNTCGATGGGAGAAGAACTCTGCTGAAGACAGAGAGGACATATTTTCTTCCCAGGCACCGCTGGAGATGAAACATCAGTTAAAAAAGAATTAAATTACTCACCTAAGGTTTCCTATTTCGGATAACTGGGTGGGTGGGGGGCAAAATCTTAAAATCTCTTCTCTGCTTAAAAGCTGTTAAGTCACAGCTCCCGCAATGCACCTCCCTTCTGGGAAAACCGGAAGGCGCTCGCAATTCTTGGCGGCCCCACCAAAAAAGGGGGAGTGGTGTCCTCTGTCACAGACCCCCTCCAAGCCTTGACCATTCTCCTCCCCCCCCCCAGACCCTGAAGAAGCAGCTTTTCCTGGGCGCTCCTTCCAAATTAAGAACAAATCAAAAGCGTCTCTTTCCCCCAATTTTAGCACCGCAAGATAACACTGGCCATAATCCTTCGAATGTGCGTAACTCCCCTTTCTGGGACGTTCCGTTCTCTGGCAAGTACCCACCCCACCCCACTCCAACCTGCATGAGCTGTTTCCACCCAGCCCACCTACCTGCTTCCTCAGCAGATTTCTGAAGGGCTTCGGCCAGCTCTTGATCGGCCAGCTCTTCCGGCCGCATGTCGTCCCGTCCCGGCCCGTAAGCCAGCTTGGCACACTCGGGTAGCTCCCCCTCAGGCAGGAAGCTCGTCTGAGAGCCGGTGGTGCCAATCACCAGCATGTTGTTCTTTAAATCGATGGAACACTGGGGGAGGAAGAAAGGCGAGGAAGCTGAACCTGGCCAGGGGCTGCCGGGGGAAACCGCCCACAAAGCCAGGCATCAGATCTGCAGCCATCTTTTCTTTTGGATCTTTGGCTTGCCACACTTTCTATTATTCGACAATGCATTTTCTATTGTGGGAAAATGGGAGGAGGGATTGTATGGAGTAAGATGATATGTAGCCATAACAACATTCTTTCTAGAAAGCCAAGGTCATCATTTGTCTTTGCATCTCTGCACTTGACCGGAACTGGATGGGTGGAACTGCCAGCATGGCAGTGTAAGATTGGACCATGTGATGGACTTGTGGGTGTGGGGGCAAGATCGTGAACTTTCAATTGGGTGGGAAAAAACCGGGAAGCTTTCAGATTCAGGTTTTCCCAGATGTGCCAATATGTCTCTCTTAATCAATTGGAACTTAGAGCAATACTTTGCCTT